ACATGAAAGCACTTTTTCTTTGAAATCAGCTGCATTACTCACATGCATTGGATTAAGGCTATTTTAAAAATGGTGTCCTTAAAAGAAAAAAAGTGCTCAGTACTTTGCAAGATCAAAACCATTAGTCATTTTCACTTGCTGTGAATTTTGAATGAAGTCTGCCTGTAAGAATTATACGATTATAGATTTGGAAAGGATCTCATGGGTCATCAAGTCTGGCACTCAGGCAGTTGTAGGGATTTGGCTACTTTTGTTCAAAGGCACCCTCTCTACTGATAAGCAGTCCAGGAGAACAGCTGTCTGCAAAGGCATTTGTTTTTTTTGTGTGTTTTTTGACAACAACAACAAATGTTTATTCGGCTATTACGCCCATCATGAAGCACAACACAACAAAACAAATCAAATGAAACAGCGGACTCATACAAACCACAAGTAGTATAACACAGTTCACAACTCACAAGGACGGATATTAGCCATTCATAAAAAAGTTTAAGATTAAGATTTAAAAATTTTGGCACTACACTAAAACAATATCTGATGTCATTATAGAAAATTCTTGTGACTATCAATAATCAGCTAACATTCCGTTCCGTCTCTTGTGCGAGAGGACGGCTGTTAGGAATTTAGCAACCTGTAGGGTAATATAAGGATCCACATCTTGAAGTACCCAGGCAAGCTGTAGGTCTACTGGTTTGTCAGCCATAGGCTGGATTATGGGGTTTAGAATACTAGCACGGGCTGAACTGTACAAAGGGCAGATAAACATAACATGATGTAGAGATTCAGATGTTTTCATTTCACAAGCACACATTGAAGGGACTTGGCCCTTAGTGAATCTATGTCTCAGCACGTTTGTTGGAAAAACATTGAACCTAGCTCTAATGAAGGCATAACAGTGAGACGCAGCCATAAGCGATGTTAAGTAGGACGGAGCGCGGTAGATAGGGGTTATGCCGAAATTTAACGGCGAGCAGGCTCCACCACCAGCTACGAAATTTTGGTATAGCTCCGCATCATCCAGCCTTTGATTTATACACCTTTTTGCCACATTTAGATCCAGTTTGAGCAATTCAGTGGGCGAGATCTCATAGGACAGCAATTTGGCATGGATTTTTCCTGACCACAAATTTGTGAAGTCATCCCGCCACATGCATTGAATTAGATAGTGGTTCGGGAGTTTATGCCATAGGGATATCCAATAGATCAAAACTCTCCTCCATATGACTAACTCCACTGAGGGGATCTTCATTTCTAAGCGAATGGCCGCATTACTTACGCATGTTGGTAATTTTAAAGGCATTTGTTCCTTCTTTATGTCTCAAGGACTGAACTCATCCTGAATCAGGCCTTCCAGTGTTCTGGGGAAATAAATGAAGAGGGAGACTTTGTTCTCTAGCATACAGTCTCTGTAAAGACCTTTGTAAGGAGGTTGGGAGAGTGAATCAGGAGGAGCATGGGTTAATCTAAACGGAAAACCAATCTAAAGAAGAGGGACTTTACCAAACTATGAAAGGCTGTGAGGGTTGGACGTTTCAAAATCTGGATGCCAAATCGAGACTGTCACATTTATAAAAATTTACCCCTCTTCCCATTCTCTTTCTCTCCCTCTTTTCCCATTTTACCCCATGGAGGCTGGTATTTGAATTTCAGTTTGCAAAGGTAGTCTTTATGTAAAATAAATGAATTAAAGTAGCTTGTATCAATAAACTCTTAACTTCACAAGAGCAGTCCCCTCTCCTGCCCCAGTATATAGGACAAGTAGGGACATGTGAATGTTCAGATTGGGATTTTGAGGCATATGCAGGGAAATGCCAGGGAGCCAGTGCAATTTTTAAGTGAGAATGGTGCAAATTCACAGTGAGAAATGTAACATTTTGAATATGTCTCCCTTTTTTTATAGGTTACAAACATTCAGCACCACAGAAATTCCTGAACATCAGAAGAAAATGAACATCTTAGAATATGGACATTGACCACTTGGACTAATGTTCTATTTTACTTGCCCTTTGAACTCCAAACACTGCAAACAATTTTTAAAGTGTTCCATTAATATATTTATGAATAATCTTTACACTGTGTGAAAAACTCTATTAGATGTGATTATTTTGCCATTATTTTAATGAGCGTTGTTTCAACCTATTCAGCTTACATTTGAAACTTTTGCATGTAATAATAATTCTTGGTAGTAACAGATCACACAAAAGCAATACAAAAGAAAAAGTTCCCACAAGTGTTTGTTGCCAGTTGCCTTATTTCTTCTCTTTACAGCCTACAGCCCAGCATCCCAAGGCCCACAAAATGTGCAGTGTAGAAGTGGATACATATAACACTACAACCCAGTCTTCCAATGATGCTGAAAATGGAAGGTTCAGGACCTATAAATGGAACCATTTATTTGTACAGCACATAGTTAACTATGGAATTTGCCACCAAAAGATGTAGTGATTAAGGATGGGGGGGGGGATTCAATTCACTTTGCATTTGAAGGCCAACATAACTACTGCTCTGCGGAAAAGATACATGTCATTTTGGCCATGGGACACCTTCCTCCAAATGTTAATGGGTGTCTCCTACTTCCCCCTTTCAGTAATTTAAACTCCCAGTGCATCCTTTAGTCAGAAGTTAAATGTATACAGGTTTGCAATTTAGAGATTTAATTGATTACGTTCCATTTCCCCTTATTTTTATGCATTATTTTTATGAACTTATTAGTTTCATTTTCCTCACAAGCACTTCTTAAACTTTACCCAGAAATCTGAAAAGAATGTAATATTTTTAGCTCACAGAGGCTATTTTATATTCCTTGCAATCTTTTTTTAAAAAAAGACCATGATTTTAAACTACTCATATAACAATTATTTCTGAAAGATCATTGAAAGCTTTCAAATTACTTGAAACTCACACCCCATCTTCATTTTCTCCTTTCCTATTCAGTGAATTTGCATTCTTGGATGACAACCACTTGCTACTGCTTTTATTTTCACACTTCTAATATGCTTCCACATAAACTGTAAAGGGAAATGAATGTGTAATTAAGAGCTCATTGATGTGGATGAGACTGAAATCCTAATGTTGTAAAATATGCTTTGGCTAAAGTAGTCTACGCATTTTGCCAGGTCTCTAGATTTTTACATAAAAATGGGGATACCTTTCTCCTATAAATGATAGTGTGATCTTCTAATCACTATAATGCCATTCCTTAGCAAAGGTGTTTAATCCAACATTACTATTATTAGCATTTTTATAAAGCTGCCTTTATAAATAATAATAATACAAATAATCCAAAGTACATCTATTTGGGTAGTTTTGACTTCGCCAGGAGTGAGCTGAGCATTTGTTTATTATGGAGGACTAGGTGCCATTAATTTTCATTATGAAAAGAATGATACATTATGATAATAATGATACATTGTTTGACAGATTAAGTAAACCCAAGTACACATCCACTAATAGCAACATTAGTTGCCCTAAATTTAGCTGTAGAAGGTATTTTGACTCAGACAATATACAGTCAACATTCAACTCTTGACATATATAAGCAATATTTATGTGACTCACATCACTGTAGTACTGAATGACCCAGAGCCATTAATAAATGTCACATTCTGTGGAGGAGGAAAGGTATTTTTCCATTTTATAGATGTGAATGTGACACATACACTGTGACTAATAGATGATGTGTTTATTAAGGCAAAAACTGCATGTGTTCTGAAGCATAGCAATATTTTTCATTGTATGGCTTTTAAGTTTTTAAAAAATAAGGAAGAAAGTCAATTTCTATTGTTCATTCTCTTCCAACATGTGAACCCGACCAGATAGGATGTCTGAGCTCAATCGTTCCAAGCTCAGATCACGTGTTCAGAAACTTGTTACTATACAGTGGTACCTCGGGTTACATACGCTTCAGGTTACAGACTCCACTAACCCAGGAATAGTGCTTCAGGTTAAGAACTTTGCTTCAGGATAAGAACAGAAATGATGCTCCGGCGGCACGGCAGCAGCAGGAGGCCCCATTAGCTAACGTGGTGCTTCAGGTTAAGAACAGTTTCAGGTTAAGAACGGACCTCCGGAACGAATTAAGTACTTAACCCGAGGTACCACTGTATTTTGTAACCCAAGATTTCTACCTGTGTTTTCTGGCTGCTGTATGGGAAAGCACATGAGTTTGTAAGTAAGCCAATTTTAATTTGCCAAATTGTGTGGTGCATTCTATGCCAAGAGAGTAGAAAGGGAGACACTGTAAGCTACTTAAAATGAGACATTTAAAAGATCTAACAGCTCATATTCCCACACTTTACTTTGCTGCATGTTTCATGTGTTAAAACCTCCGCTGTGGCTCTCTCTTACCAGAGGGTATTCTGACCCATGTTTGGATCTAGGGATTCAGTGAATTCTTCTTTACTCAACCAAAACCAACCATAACCAACAACATGTGGCTCAACGTAAGCAAGTAAATGATGTACATTGGGTCAAAAAAGGCCCAAGTTGATAGAAAACACTCCTCACCACTGCGATCACTTGAGCTTCCAGTGGCAATAATGGATCACTTTGTTCCTTTAGTCAGAGTGCAACCCCGTTAAGAACAGGCAGTCTGCCTAATTCCTGGACCTGGGAGCCAACCATCTACAATACCTCCAAATTAGGATTCAGCTTTAGCTAATTGGCTCTCATCCACAAGGGAAGAGATTCAGTTCAGTTCATATTTAAAGGTGAACTTACCTAATTCAGTTTCCAAAACAATATAAGAACCCAAGCAGTCACACTTCAAAATTCAGGCTTCTCTGAATTTTGCAATGCTGTTCTCAAGCCAAGAAATGTTTACAAAAATGTACGTACTAAGGTAAAGTGTGCATAAAAGTTATTTTCGCATATTAGTTAAAATTATATTATATTATAAAAATTGCTTTGCAAAAATGTGTATATTAAAGAAAATCCATTTAAAATGTATATAAATTAGCAGTGAAATGTTGATGAAGTTTCATGAGGACTTAAAAAGAACACCAGAAAAAAATGTGAAAAAACGTGAAAAACTGAACTTCACACTGGAAAAATGAGAAGCTGAGAAAAACCAAAATCAACATATTCACCTATCCCTATCATCTAGTCCACCACTACATTCAGGCACTGGACCTGTACAACCACACCTGACTCATTTGTAACAGAGAAATAGTGCTGGGTGACATTAGTACAACAGTGACACTGTACTCCAAATCCCTTGCTCTCAACGGCTTCTTATAGAATCTATATTACAGATGTTAAAACTTAGCAGTTAAAGCCATTTCCAGCCCTTTCCTTTCAAATTCTGGAGTTCTGGTCCGCTGCAGCCCCTTCCATCTTGGCTTGTCTTTCGATTTCAGCTCCTTCTTTCTCCAAAAGTGCTCAAACTGTAACTTAAGTTTATTTGCCCATTTGATTTATATATAATATTTCAACTCCAACTTGCAATGTCATAGCCAATCAGAAGGGCAGCACAACTCTACTTCAATTTCTCTTTATTATAATACAGTATGTTAAGTTTCTCCCTCCCTCTTCTTTAGATCTTTTGGTTTCATTTCCTCCTTAAGTATCAAATCCCTGGGCTGAATTTTTGACCCTCTATCAGAACAGCCTGCCATCCCACAAAGCAACCATGTTTGAACTAAAAAAACAAAATGTAAACCTATGATAGGCAATCAGTTGTTAATAATGAGCAGTTCCAATCTCAATGGCCTGCAGAGCAGGAGATTAGCCCCTTAAGCCAAGGGTGGGTAAACTCTACCCCATGGGTCAAACCTGACATGACATCCCCTTTTGGACACAAGGGCATTTTGGGGAAACCTTATCCACCCACGCTACAGCTAATGCAATGTGTGACATCAGGGGCAGTGTTGATTAAGGTGTGTCTTCAAAGGAACAGTCAGGAGCTTAACCTTGGCTCCAAATTGTTCCTTTCCTGGAGCAAGTCACACTCCACACACCTTGCTCAAGAAGGCAGAAGTGGTTACTAGTCAACGGAAACCGCTTCTCCCTCCCAGCACCGGTCTTCAAAGCTGCCCCGTACGGCTCCTTTCCACCTCTAACATAGTCCAAGGAGCTACAATTCACACCACATTTCATAAACTACCGTTATCAGGATCCTTTGGGGAACATGATGTACTTTAAACATATGGTGTATACAAAGCCTATGAATGCCAGTCTGATTCTAGGAATATCCATCTCCCACTAATCATCTTCCCCACTCAGTGTCCTGGCATTTGGGGTCTCAGAAAATCTGGGTAGTGCTGCAGAAGCCCCTGCTGACGCTGTCTTCTGACAGTTGGTGGCATCTCCTGACCGTTCTACCCACTTCAACAGTGTTATTGTCATTTCATTCATGGTAACAGGGAACCAGACAACTTCTGGACTTCCTGCAAAAGTCTTTGACCCACACAGGATCCCCTGGACAGTCTACATATTCTAGTAATTTATATACTGCAGAATACCATTATCAAAAATATTGGTAATAAAAGTACATGGGAAGCATTTTGTAATTTTTAAAAAAGTTAATACACTTTTTTTTTGCCCCATTCAGTGAGAGATAAAAGTTTTTTGTTTAAAATCCATTTGTTCTGTGGAATACATATATCACCCGATGCAAGTTCTTCCTAGCTCTCCAAAACTTTCCCTTAACAATATAATTTTACCACAGTGATCTTTAGCTTTAAATACATTGTAAACATAGCACGCCTTCTGACTAGTTTTCTTATTAGAGTGTAATATAGACAGATGTGTTTGTAGCTGCTGTAATTACGTTAATTTCATAGGAACATAAGACTGCTGTGTAATCAGCTATTACTAATGTAATTACTCTGACAAAAATGGTTCACAAAGAGACAGTGTGTTAGAGTTGCTCCTAAATGAGTACTGATTGTAGTAATTGAATAGTGAGTCACATTTGTATCTGAAGTGGATAATATAATGTAGATTTTTGCTATCCCGTAATTAAGATTCATGAAAAGCATTATTTTGATATGTGCTCTCAGGGTAGTATTTGGCTTTTCAGGACTAATCCACATGTCTTTTATCACCCTAAAAGAATAGTGTTTTGTTTGCATTACAGTGGGGTCTCTTAAAATCAAGGTCTCATATGCTAGCATTGTACAATCAATCATCTTTATGAAATTTAAGCAACCAAATATGTCCATTTTACAGACAGCAAAACTGCAGTAAAAAAAGAGTAAGGCCAATAGAGTCACAAGGACCAACATCTTTCAAACAGCATTATAAGTGTCACTTTCAGATGCCCCTTTCTGTGCCCAATAAGCACGGGGTGCCTTTGCCCGGCGGCGCTGTGACCCATAGATTGCAGCAAAATATTGGGCAAGGTTTTGCCCAGTATCTTCTCTGTGTGATGGGCTCATGGGAAAAAGCTGTCAGTATCTGTCTGGTTGGAATCTGCACCCTGGTCCCCCAGTGAGACCTTGCTTGCTTGGCTCGCACCACAGCAAAGTTCAACACTGGCTGACTCCCATGGAACAGGTTTGGAACATTTCCCCATCATTCACCAGGCACCAGCAGGCCAATACTGGACAAAATAATGACATCAGGAAATGAGGTAAGTTGAACCACATACTTATGAAGAGGAAGTTGGTAACTAAGAGAAACAAAGGGAGGATAATGACTTCTGAGAAAAATCATTTTGTTTCTTATCTTACATAAAATTCAACATCACCTCCATTGACTCATGAGACACTGAGGCAGGATTTAGTAGGTTGAATACATGTTTGTACTTTGTACTGGGCAGGGTTAATCGCTGGACAGGGTTAATTGTGGCTGTTTTTACACTGTATCATGCAAAATGTAAATGATGCTGACAACACAGAGCACATGGGTGGTGATGAAATATGTTATAATGGAGTAACAAGTATGAGTGATAGCTATATGCTATTTGCTTGAATAGTTTACAAGGCTAGAGTAGTTTAGGTATTCAAGCATGACAAATTGTTCACAAACTACATACAGTGGTACCTCGCAAGACGAATGCCTCACAAGACAAAAAACTCGCAAGACGAAAGGGTTTTTGGTTTTTTGAGTTGCTTCGCAAGACGATTTCCCTTATGGGCTTGCTTCGCAAGACAGAAACGTCTTGCAAGTTTGTTTCCTTTTTCTTAACACCGTTAATACAGTTGCGACTTGACTTCGAGGAGCAACTCATAGCACGCGGTGTGGTAGCCTTTTTTTAGGTTTTTGAAGACTTTGGTGATTTTTTAAGCTTTTCCAAAACTTTCCCGAAACCGTGCTTCGCAAGACGAAAAAAATCGCAAGACGAAAAAACTCGCGGAACAAATTAATTTCGTCTTGCGAGGCACCACTGTATATTTTTATTCCATGCTGATCTTCAATATTGCAATCCTCAGCAGTACCTGAGTAAGTGCTGTTTGCAATCAGTTGGAGAACTGATTACACCGATTAACTGCAAACTTACAGTTAAATTATATACTTACTTGCCTCTGTGATAGTTTCTGGGATGTGAAGGTGTTCATTCATTTAGCACAATCTTAAAAGGTACTATTAATATAAATAGTAAGAAGCACAGAAGCCTAAGTAAATGATTAGAAAGTGAGAAATCTTATCTCATCCACACTTGTAAAATAAGACATTACTGTCCTCATCTATCTGGGTTTCCTTAAACCTCAACAGGCTATAAAATAAATTTTGTGATGCCATGCAGGTATTGGGAGAAATTTTCAGAAGGCTCATATAAAATGAAAAGCAATGAATAAGCAATTAAAATAGAGTTCAGCTAAGGATTCCATAACTATTGTGAACAAATTGCTCTGCTCTGTAGCAATATCAAAAGGTTAAAGCTGCAGTATTACACACCCTTACTTGCCTGAACAGACAGGCATAGGACTGCACTGCATGTAAACTAACTGAAATGAACTATTACCAGTGGTGCATAGTACAGTAGGCTTGTCCTTTATGCGGCTGTACCAGTATTAAGTAGCTTCTGAATTGTTCCTTGAAAACAAAAATTTTAAAAACTTTTTAAAGGATATATATTTACTAAACATCAACTTTAATGCAAGTTTTGCTACACAGAGGTGCAAATCATTCGGATTGTGACACAAATGTCATGAATTCAATGTTTTACTTTCACATGTACTGCATGTTTCTCTTTTAGCACAAGAAAAAATTCTTAATAAAGGGTTGCATTAGCTAAAATTTCTAGCAGTTTTCCTCGTTACAAAACTAGTAAAGTACAGTAAATGAAAAGCAATCTTTTAAAACAATTCAACATTAAGATAAATAGAAACCAAATTACATCTGAGGCACTCCCATTTTTACAGCACCGTTAATCAGGCTAATTTTCATTTAAATCTGTGAAATGATTAAACTTGGAGGGAAGTTTTGAGTGAGTGTCCTTGACTCAAACAAAAATATTTTAACTAGGAATTATTTTCACGTATTGAGCTTGCATCTAATCAAATTTAATTCAGAGTAATTTAGAAATTATATAATGTGTATTCCACAAGCCAGTTATCTGGAATACATCTAAATCTGTGTTTGTTAATCTATTTGAGCCTATAGTAGCAGAAAGATGAGAAATTTTAATTTATAAACCAAAATAATTTAGTTTACATGCATTTAATTATACTGTTAATCTGGAATATTAACCTGCACCATGTTGACCTCCCTACTGCCACCCTACTCCCCGTCTTGGTTACTTACAATGACCTTTGGCTTGGGAAGCCAGGTAAGCAATGCAGCTCCATCCTGGCCACTACTAGCATTATATGGAAATAAAAAATAGCAATGATATGAGAATAAGAATGGTAAGTTGTTTTTTATCAATATTATCAACACCAAAGGCTATTTCAAGCATTACTGCAGTTCATTGTGCATTTGTATCCAGAGCAGATTATTCAACTTTCAGCCCTTTGGATTTAAATTCAGAGTGCAGAATCTGTGATAAGCATCTTCCAAATTCTTCTAAGATCATTTGTTCTGCTAGGCAAATAGAGTAAGCTTCTTTTTCTGCCTCTTCAGCTTGAGCAAGAAGACAGGCACATGTTGCCTCAACCACTTCCCATGATATACATGTACTAGACTGCCTATTGGAACAAAAAAACCAATATATACTTTTAAAATAAGTAAATTAATGAAAAAGATAAGTCACCAATTTACTCATGGCTGAACTTTTCAGGGTTTTCAAACAGGATTTTCTGTGCCAGGTACACTTTTTTGCATTTGGCCTTCAAATCCAGGAAAGGGCACAAATTTGCATATGCTTTGTCCCATATGCATTCTTATTTTTTCTTTTGCAAGTGTGTGGAGGGACTGAAATAAATAAAGGGCTACCTACAACTAATAATGTCTCAAAGTCAGCAGGTAGTGTTTCCCCCAGAATTTTATTTCCTCATTACAAAAGGCTTAATCTGTTGCATTATTGTCTATTTAACAGTGCTTCATTTTCCCCAAGCAACTTCCTCCTCCCAGTCACGTTTCTTTGGTTAGAATCCTGGAAGGAAAAGCAACCAGAGAGTTGAGGTGCAGGGCAGAAGCAAAAGGCAGGCGAAAGATTAAGCACTCATCCTCACCTCCCATTTCTTCACCGCAAATCATGCCCTACTTAGGCTACTTTTCAACTCTTTGGAAACAACCTAGATTCACAAAGCTACCAGCCTCTCCCACCCATGCAATAGCAGGATAAAGCAGCCGCCTCAGGCAGAAGCCCCTGAGGTGGTGCCACGACGTGTGCCCCACCCACCCCGCCACCTGCACCGCTAATTTTCAGTGATTCCTCGCCAAAATCTCACAAGAGCTCATGAAGCATAGCAGTGGGTGGCAGTGCTGGTGGTGCCAGCAGCAGAGCTAGGTTGCTGCCAAATGTGTAGGTCAGCCTTTAGACAGGCAACATACATAAACAGTAAATGAGCTGTTAAAAAATATTCCTTATACTGTATACCAAGCATGACACTTTCATTCCCAAATAAACTACTCTGTTCATTTCAATAGGTTTTTAAAAAGCCCTGCTGCAGTGCTTCCCTTGCTGGTGCACGTCATTGGTAAATAAAAATCTGCTGTACACTGAAGTCTTTGAAGGCTTGTCTACAAGCCTGCCACCACAATTTTAGCAAAGCTGCCAACTTGCCAGCTACACACATTTGACTGCCTGAAATTAAAGCATATGTTGCTTACTCAGCTTCAAAAACAAACACACCAAACATATATTGGTACCAAAGAGTCAGTGCTACAACCTTCACCTCAGCAGTAACCTGTGTAGCTGAAACAAGTTACTAAGCTCTGACAGAATAACCATATGTAAGATGGAGCGTCTAGAAAGGAGAAAGCAAAGGTTGAGAGGGACAGACAACTAGGCCGTTACATATATGTTTAAAATCAGTGCTAAGGCATATAAAACAGTTTGCTATTTTAATATACATATCTTAGATAAAAAGTGGACATCACATAGGTAATCCTTAATATTTACCTGTCTTTTCTGCTTTTTGATAATATTTCAAAATTAGAAAATGATACAGAGCCATTTCCTTCATAACTTTTAATTTCCATATAGTTTGGTATATTCATTAGTGTTTTTCGATCTGGGCTTTCTTCATAATTTTTGCAACCAACACACTTGCAGATAGATGAACACATGATTTTAGCCTAGAAAATGCAAAATGTTCTAATTCATAAATCACTCAATACTATTAAATAATATAAGATCTGGCTGTGCTACAATACAAGGACTCAGCCATACAGAAACAAATAAAACGTTTTAAGTGCAATATGCAATGTGACACTAGATGGCAATGGTGAGTTATGGAAAATTCAATGTGTTTTGTTTTTTCAAAATGATTTTTTAAAAAACATTTTCAGAACAGTTTTTATGTGTGTAGATTCCACCTGTGTATGATTCCTTGGAAGTATGCTTCCAAGATCATTGGTAATTGCTACAAATAATATTATAGTGTGATAAACTATATTTCACTACTCCTAGTTGTATGTGGAGTTCACTTTGAAGAATACTAAGAAATGTCAGTTAGTTGACTGACACTGGCTAGCATTAAAAAAAAAAAAAAGCTTAATTATTTCCATAAGCACAATTCAAGTATCAAACTTGTTTCCAGAAACAATTTGAAGCACTGGGTTTGACCTATAAAAGTATTGTATGGGACTCATCCATGAATCTGCTCTTAATATCTGTCTTGGATTTGCTGCTCCTACCTTTAATACTCATATGTATCACATTTATCTTCAGGTGCCATAAGAAAGGACCTTTTTCTGGGTTCTCCTAAAGTTGATTTCATTGACAAATTGAATGTGCATTTTGTATTCTTTGTAAACTGTTGAGTTGTATTTACAGTTAAGAGGGATACAGATTTTGTTGAATAACTAAAAAATAAATAAGATTTACTGGTACTCATCACTTCAACCATCAAAGAAGCATCTTTGGTTTCTTGTACAACCCTCACATACTGCTTTGTAAAATATATCATACCTGCATGGCGGAATAGGAAATGCTTTCTTCATTTTGCCAGCATATTTCCATTTACCTTTCTTCTAGTGCAGATGCAAAAGACAGGGCTCTTGTACCTTTAATAATTGTGTAGATGTAGAAGAAAAGTTTCACCTGCTGTAAAGATACAAAAGCCCTGTATTTTTTTGCAGGTGGCCACCCAATAGTCTAGCTGCTTTTAAACTTTGCACCTGATGCTAGAGCCTGCAGTTTTCCATGTGGAGCACACTCTCTGGGAGTTTCCTCTCAGATAAAGTTTCTAATTTTACTGGATGAATCCCACCACTGTTACACATTTTTATAAAGCAGAATTAGAAAATTTCATTGAACAAACCTCAAAGCATTCACAGTAATTTTTTAGGCACCCTGACCGCTTACAATTACATCCTTTATTATGTCTGGGCTTGATATCTCCTAGTTTCCCTTTTCCAATCTTTGGCAGGAAAGCTTCTGGATTTCGGTCAAGACAAGCCTAAAATAAATATTTTTTTATTTATATAGAAGACATTCAAATTGGGAAAAAAATCATTTTTTTTAACCTTTTTATAGCTTACTTTATTTCTAAACTATGCTTTTCTGAAGGCATATTAATTATTTTTTACAGGTGGTAGCAATCAAGGAAGTTCTTGTTTATATGGTCCACCCGTTAACATGAGACAAGATGTACTCACAGCACTGTATGTTGTCATCTGTGGAGGCTATTCTGCTAGAGCTACTAGGGTACAGTCCTTCCAATAAAAATGTCAAGCAAATCTCAAAACCACACACTCTTTCCCATCATGTACACATTAGATACTTAAATGAACTCAGAGGCTTGTGGGGACATTTCTATCAATCTTCTAGTCTTTGGCCCGTCAGCTCTGTGCATTGCTCAGCCAACCCTAATCTAAAAGTATGGCTATGGTAAAGAGGTCCCTTCCATGTATCTCTAGGACATGGGTAGGCAAACTAAGGCCCAGGGGCCGGATCTGGCCCAATCGCCTTCTAAATCCAGCCTGCAGACGGCCTGGGAATCAGTGTGTTTTTACATGAGTAGAATGTGTACTTTTATTTAAAATGCATCTCTGGGTTATTTGTGGGGCATAGGAATTCATTCATTGTTTTTTTCAAAATATAGTCCAGCCCCCCAAAAGGTCTGAGGAACAGTGGACCGGCCCACTGCTGAAAAAGTTTGCTGACCCCTGCTCTAGGAGGACTGCCAGCTTTTTAGCCCTTGCTGAGGAGATTTCTCCTTCGTCTCTTGTTAGGAAACAGGACAGTAATTAACACAGGAGATATAATAAAAAGTAGATAATAATACTTGCATTACCTTAATTGCCTTAATCCTCTCTAGTTCATGTTGTGGATTGTTATAACAATTATTGCAGTTGCAGTTACTGCAGAAATCACCATTGGCAAAGCAATCACAGTATCTGTGTTTAACAAAGGCAGCAGATGAAATACATTTTATAGTTCATCATTTTCAAGGATGGTTTATGTAGTCATGCGGTTATCTGTGCATTCTATGATTTTGTTTTTCTCTGTCCCCAATTTTTTGGCGTTCTGAAGATTGCAACCAATCCAGCAACCAACATTTCATGCAAGTGCTTACAATGGGAGATTGCTGATCCCATTCTCTTTAGTTTCCCTTCTAGATATTTTCTGTCTCCTTTTTATTCTAAAACAGCATTATTTATGTCTTATTTAATGCAAGTAATTAAGTAATCTTCCCATTCCGTATGTAAACATTTACATGAACCTTTACTCAAGATACCTACTAAAGAGTGGCAGAGGAAAACGAATGAATATCAGATAAAAAAGGCTGATACATTTTCAACATGCATTTTGTATATAAAAGCATTTTTTAAAAAAATTACTATTACAATGTTAGAAGAAAGCAAGGAACATAATGGCTCAGAACCTCTATTTTCTATATTATCTTTATATAGTACTATGAACAACTAGAGATACACTTATTTTGTCATGGTATCTATTTTTTTGTGCTGCCTTATTTTTCAACATGCTTCCAGAAGTGTATCTTCCAGGCATTACTTTGTATGCATCAGGCTAAGCACTGTGCATAAAAAGAAGAGAAAAATGCAGCTTCAGATGTGGTAAATTAATATCCTGTTCTATATCAAAGTCCTGTTTACTGCCGTGGCTTCAGTTTAATACATATGGCAGGAATAAATTAATTACATTTGGAGTTTTTTTACACTAAGAATGGATACTTCAATATTTCGTTTACTTACAATTTGAGACACTGTGATTTAGTGCAGTTGCATGGCTTTTTTGACTTTGTATCCCAGGAGCTGCAAGGTAACCTAGGCATTTCATTTTTTTTAAAAAAAGAAGCACGTTATTAGATATATAATTAAAAATTATATATTGAATGTCTTGGGAAGATTATTAGAGATTACACCCATTTACTGGTGGAAAAGCGTGAAAAATGGGACTCCTAACTATGACTCCATTCACAGAACCTTGTTTTGCTACCTCAAGTCCTCCACATCACTTGCTGTAAGGGTAATGAATCTCTTGAACAAATCGTCATTCAATCTTCTGTTATACAGAGGGAAACATAATGCATCGGGTCCTAAAATAAACTGAACTTATCCTTCCTCCCCCACTGCAGCTCCCAATGGCTCTGGTGGGCTGGAGCCCCTCCTAACAAAGTAGGATGGGATGGGAGGCTTCTGAAGGAGCAGGAAATCAACCTAGGTAGGACCTGGATATAAGTCAACAGAAGGACCATTTCCCATCACCACCTCCTCAGGATTATGCTGAATATGTTGTGCCAAGGGTTCAATGGCCAAAACAAACAAAAGAGGAGAATGTTGATAGCCTTGCTTCATCCCCAACTGTGGACTAATGTGATTAAAATCAAGATTATTTATTATCACTTTATCAAACAAATCACTATATACTTGTTATATTTTATTTATAAATTTAGGGTCAAATCTCATCATTTTGATAACACCAATTAAGTACACCTACTCCACACAATCAACAGATTTGAATATTTTAAATAGTAACACCATTAGTGAAGTGTGAGTAGTTTTACAAAGACAAATAATATTTAACAGTTACCAATTAGATCTGAAATCTGAAGGTAACAGACAAAGCTAGCCTGACTAGGGTATAGCGCTTTTCAGTATTGTAGGGATTTGTATAAATACCATGTCTTATTATTAAAGATATTAACAAATATATATATATCTATTACTGTCTTACCCAACTAAGGTCAGTTTTGTTGGCTCTTGAAGATTTTTATCTGAATGGCATGTATATATGGATCCATTATCAAGCTGTTCAAAATACAAACCAGATACTCCATTTGCATTTAGTTATATACATTTAAAAAACAAAAATATTATAAAAATAGATTAAATAATCAAGATAAAATATTTATAAATCACCTTCATCAATGTTAGAACAAGTCATGGAAAAGTGAAATATACTTTAGGAAAAATGGTATTTTAGGATTGATATTTGCCTTTAACTTATACTCTTAAGTGTTGACACTATTTTCATGTTGCTGACTGGGACCAGCTCCAAATTTTGGAGCACTAGTACAAGAAAAAAGGCTACCTTGTTGCTCCTAATAATTCTCACAGGAGACACAGATCTCCATCCTTGATTTTGCAATCTGCTTGTTTCCAGATCAGGTATCTTTCTCTCTCCCATATAGTCTTCTTTTTATTGTGGGTCTGTGGCACATTGTTTCACATACCCTGCAGGCTTTGGATTAGTAACAGACTTTTATTCTTTAGATCTAAGGTTTGTGTATACCTAATGAATGTATTAAATGCTTGTGTATAACTGTGCTGTCTGAAGCAGCATCTATATTAGGGTTGCCATATTTCAAAAAGTGAAAATCTGGACACAAAAGTTGTTGTTTTTTCAACCACAGTATTCCAGTTGTCTCTAGGAAATTCCGGATGTATGGCAACCCTAACTCCGTCTCTTCATTTTTGTGAAATAGACCAATCTTTCTTTACTTCCTGGTATGATTAGTTATTTATTAGGTATAAGGGTTAAAGCTATACACCCATTTTTAATGGACACATGCACTCCTTCCATGCAAAAGGTTCCAATCCCCTGAGCTGTACATTGAGGCCATGCGTGTGGTGGTAAGGCATGTGGGTTCAGATGCATGCCTCATAAGCCAAGGCTAGGAAAAGACCCAATATGGAGGCCTACTGGCCAAAATATTGGGAAATAATTGAAAAAATTGGAGACAAATGGAGGTTGCAGAGCCAAGACAAACTAAAAAATAAGGTGCGGGATTGGCTACATTATGCTCAAATTCAAGAGGTTTTTAAAATGGACAAAAAAGTTGGTTTCCAGGTGGAAAAATCGAAATTAGAGACGGAATTGTTAGAATCAAAAACTAAGACACTTTCGAAAATGTATAACTTGCTGCTTAAATGGAATACACAGGATGAGATAGTGAAATCTGCCATGATAAAATGGGCACAGGATATTGGACACAACATTATGTTTGAAGACTGGGAAAGGCTATGGAACACCGGTATGAAGTTTACGGCATGTAATGCCTTGAAAGAAAACATTATGAAAATGATATACCGGTGGTACATGACCCCAGTCAAGTTAGCTAAGATATATCACTTGTCTGATAATAAATGTTGGAAATGTAAGGAGGCAGAAGGGACATTCTTTCATCTTTGGTGGACCTGCCCAAAAGTGAAGGCCTTCTGGGAAATGATTTATAACGAGTTAAAAAAGGTATTTAGGTATACCTTTCCCAAGAAACCAGAGGCCTTCCTATTGGGCATGGTGGACCAGAAGGTGTTAAAGAAGGACAGAACTCTGTTTATGTACGCTACTACAGCAGCAAGAATCCTTATTGCAAAGCACTGGAAGACCCAAGATTTACCCACGCTGGAGGAGTGGCAGACGCAGTTGATGGACTACATGGAACTGGCTGAAATGACTGGCAGAATCCGAGATTTGGGCGAGGAAACAATGGAAGAGGACTGGAAAAAATTTAAGGACTATTTGCAAAAACACTATAAGTTGTATGAATGTTAAGAAATACGCACGATTATGAAATTTTTTTGCTTTAGCAATTTGATTAGGTAAACTGAAAATTAAGACAAGAAAAAAGAGGTGGTAATATGAAATAATTTTATTATGTTAATTTTAAATGTACAAAGTCGGGATATAATATTGTGAATTTAGAAACATAATAACTGAAAGATACAGTAAGTTAAGAAATAAGGTAACAAATTGCTGAAACTTTTATTACAAAGAACGCAGAGTCGGGAGGATGTGGGGAAGTCCATTTGGAATATTGAAAAAACTACTGAAAATTGGATTGTAATGACCTTTTTATTATTTTGATTTTGTATTTGTTTCTTGTAATTTCTTACCCCAATTTTGTGTCTATGACCTTAAGAAAAGAAACTCAATAAAAAATATTTTTTAAAAAAAACCAGATGCATGCCTCATAACACCCCCCAACCCTCCAGAGGAGATTTGGGGAGCACAGAGGGAAGAGAGGGGCAGAATTCCTGCTGCGCTATCAGGAATCCTTGCAACAGCTTCCACTAGCACAACAGGTTTGTTGAATATGGCCCATTCTAACAAGGCCTGCCTGTAGCAACAAAGCAGAAACATGAGACAAAGCATCAAAGCAGGCAATGGTTGGGTACTAAAACATATGCACAATCTGCATATACCTTGGTAGACAGAGAAAGACGCATGATATGCAGTTTGAGAATGTCAAATTAAAAACTCTTATCTGAGGGCAAAAGTAACACTTACCTCTTGTGCACAGACATTCAGTTTACCTCCAACTGGTAAAAACTGTCCCAGTACAGATGTTACAGAATTACTTGCATCTAATAAAAAAATATTTCATTTAGGTTAGTGCAATGTATAGATTTAAACAAATACATATTTGGATAAATGACGTACATTTCAGAGGAACTAATAGATGTAAACAGTTACTTCTTTAGCATAAATAAAACTTGGAAATAATTAAGTTTTTAACTATGCTAAAGAAGTTTGACATTTTCCATATATTTATCTTTCCAAACCAAACTGCATTTACCGGTATTTCACGCAACTATAATAAGAAAGGATCCTACAGAGGGCAAAAACACACACAAGACGCTCCAGAAGCCCAGGATGGTGGTAGTTTAGTTGTAAAGCCATGTTTTGCATGCAAAATATACATGTTCAACTCCTGATGTTTCCAGATACAAATTGGAGAGACTGTCTGAAAGGCAGGATTGCTGCTGCAATATATTGAGATATATGAACCAGTGGCTTGATGGCATAAAGCAGCTTATGTTCACTAAGTAGGAACAGCAGCAGTTGGGAGGCCAACCTTATGGGGTTGTTTCTAAAGCATCTCCAGCTAGCTGTCCCAACACATATCTTTGCACATTTCACTTTCGCATGCACTTCCATGTTCATGACTATCAGGCTTCATTTTATACATTTATATAATTTTGTGCAAATCTAATCCTCTTCCCCCAGCTCAAAAAATATGTGCCCTATGCTAAGAATTGGGTCCCGCAAAGAGTGAGTTTATTTTGAAATAGTGGTTTGGAGAATAATGAAAGGGCTGGGCTTACTGTATTTTTTGCTCTATAAGACTCACTTTTTCCCTCCTAAAAAGTAAGGGGAAATGTGTGTGCGTCTTATGCAGCAAATGCAGGCTGTGCAGCTATCACAGAAGCCAGAACAGCAAGAGGGATTGCTGCTTTCACTGCGCAGCGATCCCTCTTGCTGTTCTGGCTTCTGAGATTCAGAATATTTTTTTTCTTGTTTTCCTCCTCCAAAAACTAGGTGCGTCTTGTGGTCTGGTGCATCTTATAGAGCGAAAAATACGGTAGCTTCTTCTTCTAAAAAGCTAAAGGTGTCCACGTGTATGGGTGCAACAGTAATTGCCAAAATTTTAAAGGTCAAAATAAAATAAAAAACCCTTCCAATAATGAAAAATGGGTGCAACAATAACTGAAAATGTTTCTATTCGGCAATGCAAGTCTAGTCTTAGAAAAGCTTTTGCTTCTTTGTACTTTAAACAGATAGAAAAGGGTTGTAAGTCTTATGATGTGGACTGCACTTCCTCCTTGTGTGTTAATAACAACTTGTATGGAAAAAAAAATTCTGGTCTGAATGCACAGTGAACTACTATTCGATGGGTCTTACTTCTGAGTAGACATGCATAAGATTGCACTGTTGGTCTCAGGCCCAAATTTTTAAAATGTACTGTATTACTACAATTGCAGTTGGTTTGAGGAGAAATTGTCTGAGTGCAATTTAAAATATGTACAATTATTAAATTTTTTACAATCAAGATTTTGAGAAGAAACCTAAGAAAGACTCCTTCTTCTCAGATTTTATCTTTGTCATCATTCAGAGACAGTGATTGCTATATAACAATATGTGAAAAGAATGCTTATTGAAATATTATCATTACTATATTGATCTATTAAAATTATCAGATTCCTTTATAGTTGATTGAACAGTGACATCATGTGGATGGTTTGGGTAAATGCAGACAGAACTCCCCCTTGCAAGCATACACAATTTACTAGGAGCCTTTCTACGTTTAAGATTCCATGGTAGCCCAAGTCCTTATTTTGTTCCTAAACTGTTGAGCTCAGTCTAGACATCGCCCCTAACTGCATGTTTCTGTTATGGGAATACTGCATTTTCCCAATGTTGAGAGCATTATATTTTATAACTTAGAAAACGTGGTGCTTTCCCCAGAAAATTGCCCTATGGATTATGAATATTTGAGTTTTACAGATGTCATCTGGATATTGTCTATGATGAAGCTTGCTGAAAGTATATAGACAGGATCTATATTGGCAATAAATAAAACAATGAGACAAGGCACCTGAGCATTCCATGGTTGGGTGGCAAGATTATTCAGCATATTCTGCACATCCCTTGGTGAAGTTAGTGAAGGGAATGTTCACAATCAGAATTCCCTAATACAATGCATTTTGTTCTGTTATTTTCATTAATTATATATGTTGTTCATATTTTCCAAAATTTCAATACCTGTCTGAGGATACTTAGGCTGGTCTTGATACTGGGGGACCAAATGAACTGCTTTTAATTCTCTTGTGTCTGTATTGTTTATACAAAGTATATGAGTACCACCCTTCAACTGGCAGATGATCTGAATTGCATAATCAACAACAAAAATAATCAGATTAAAACCCATATTACACTCCTTAAAATGAGCATCAAAACTTAATCAATATACAACATAATAAAAGTATTTAATTAAAAATATGAAGATTTTTCTTAAAAATCAACAGTGAAGGATCCATATATACTTCCTGCAGGAGGGCATTCCACAAATACATTTATATCATAATTGTCAGGGCTGGGCTAGGCTGGAGAACCTCAGGCTGGGGGGCAAATGCGGCCCCTATACTTCATTTTATAGCCCTTGGGAACCTCTGGCCATGGCTCTTCCCCAGACCACACACCTCACAGGTCTTGCTTCATTCCACCCTCCAGGTTTCTGTCCCCATCCCCACCTTGAATATGTCATTGAACTGTAACAATGCCTCTTGCTTGTCTGGATGGAGATATAGCTCTGTCATTTGTGTGGCAAGCCTCTAGTTTGTACAAAGATAAGATTGACATCCATTGCCCCACCCACCACTGGCATTTGGCCCTTTGATGGTTGTTCACTAGGGAATGTGACACTTGGGCTGAACTAAGTTATCCACTCCTGCTTCGGGGGAGTCCACCCCCCATCCAAAACCAGCTGCACACCACCCAGCTGAGCAGATTTCTCAGCCAACAGGACTTCCACTTTATAATAGAAACCAACCTGAGGGACCGAGGGGGCTTCGTCCCCCATAAAATATTTAAGGGGGTAGGCCCCCCAAAGTTGAGGGGTATTGCCATTCAAATGATGTGCATGCATCATGTCATGTGATGGATTATGCGGGGTGACTAAGCCGCTTCTGGCGAACCAGAGCAGCGCACGGAAACACTGTTTACCTTCCCGCCGGAGCGGTAACTATTTATCTACTTGCACTTTGACATGCTTTCAAACTGCTAGGTTGGCAGGAGCTGGGAATGAGCAATGGGAGCTCACCCCGTCACAGGGATTCGAACCGCTGACCTGAACAGCAAGCCCTAGGCTCTGTGGTTTAACCCACAGTGCCACCCGCATCCATGCTGCTCTGATTAAGCATCTAATCATACACATATAGTCAAGACTATAAACAGAACTATAAAATGGTCATTGTTTTCTTACTGCCTACATGGCACCACTAAGAGGAAGCTACCCTACTAAGAGCCCTGCAGTTTCATTCTAATAAAAACATAGACAACAAAAAACTATTGGCAAAGTTTTCCTGTGCAAGTTATTATATTGTAAAAACACAGCAGTTACCACTTGAGGACTGGCATAATTTCTCTGTGAACAGGTAGGTTCCTCCATTGCATTTTGTGAAGCTGCTAGGTTATGGCTGATTTCTTCACCATTTGAATTTTGAAAAACTGCTTCATCTGAATTATTAGCTGTAATGCTAACAACTGCTTCTCTGACCTCAGCCTGAAATATAATCAATTTCATATTTTAAAGGATATGCTTGCAGTATGTTGCACTGTTAAAAAGCTATTGTTGAAAAAAATAATTAAAGTTGCTTAAATTGATCGGAAACATTATGATTAAATTGATGCATAGAATAGTCAATTAAAATTGTCATTATTACCACTATCTTTAAAAGCCCAACTTACATCTAAAGGACTAAGAAAGGATGGGGGAAAATAACCTGAAATAAATACCGGTAATTACATTCCACATTGCTTTGAGTCATTTAAATAATAGTATGAATAAATTACAGAAGTTGTATCAAGTAATCAATTTTATTGGATGCTAAGGATTCAATACAGATATTAATTCTGTGTCTGTGTCCTAAATGCATCCATGGTACTTTTTCTCTGGCATCCTGTTTCCCATAATAACTGGATGTTCAGGAGGTAGCTGTACCGAGGAGTGTCTTTGCCCAACTTTCATTCATACAATGGCTTCATCCATTTCTAGAGAAGTCGGGTCTGGCTATGCTGACCCATTCAAAACCATCAAAGCAGAGGTTGCGGGAGAGGGGGGACAAAAATTTGGGGGACATCTGCCTATGCAACTCACTGTGGATCCAACTCACATTATCCTAACAAGTAGTAAAACATAGTATATACTTACAATCTCATCACAAACAGCAGCAGTATCCTGAGATGAAACAGTGATACCATTGCATGATTCTACAACACAAAATGGAGTTGAAGAGAAAATTATGTGGACAATGTTAAATATTCAATCTAATCAGAATATTATTGTTTATATCCCACGACTGTTACAATATAACTCATAAAACCAACAACATTTGAAGTTGAGTATAAGCAATTGAGTGTAGAATAAGAAGAGCAAGTAGAAACGGCAACCTTCCTAGGTACAATTCAAACACATTTCCCCTTACAGTGGTACCTTGGAAGTAAAATGGAATGTGTTTCAGAAGTCTGTTCAACTTCCAAAACATTTGGAAACCAATGCACGGCTTCAGATTGGCTGCAAGAAGCTCCTGCAGCCAATCGTAAACTACAGAAGCCACATTGGACATTTGTATTCCAAAAAACGTTTGCAAACTGGAACACTCACTTCCAGGTTTCCGGCATTTGGGAGCCAAAACGTTCGACTTGCAAGGCATTTGGGATTCAAGGTAAGACTGTATTTCAAATCCATTCAAAGGAGTTTCACTGGGGTAATTTCTTTATAGACAAAAAATCTAAATTATTTTAAAATATATTTGAAATGTAAGTTTCAAATGAATATAAATTCAAATGAAAATATGAAGTATTTGAAAATGAAACCAAAAAAAAAAAAAACATCCTAAGGAAAAAATGAAGGCACCCCATTACACTTTGTAATGTACTGAAAAAATAAGGCTTAAAGTGAATGGCTGTTAACTTTTCAGTAAATGATGGTTAGGATGCCAATAGGATTTTCATGAGGGCACACACACATAATATTTGAATATGGTTTGTATCCTGTGCAAATTGTGTCCTGTTTTGCAGGTGGAGTGGGGGGGGGCAAAGATAAATCAGGGACTCCATGCAAATAAGGGGACATACTGAATGCCAACAGGTGCAAGTTTCCCCAGAATTGTATTTCCATTGTAGAATAGGTTTAACATGGATCTCTATCCATCACATAGCTGTTAAAAGAACAAAGAACATTTCCATTTCTGAAACAGCACTACATTCACTGCAAGTGCCTTCCATTCCTGGAAGCTTTAGAAAACAAGTTGCAACTGAAACAACTTGGATGCCAAGTGTGACGTTTCCAACTGTAATCAATAAACAGCAAATATAGGGCAAAAAGTTACACCGTTTCCTTTAATGTAATAATTGGTAAACAAAAGACCTCCATTTCTGATTCCTTTAAATTAGTAAAAGAGCTAAAGGTAAAAATTATTTATCTTTAATAATAATAAGCAATCCAGAAAACATATTAAGTGGAAACCCACCTGCACGAAACAAAAGATGCAAACATGAAAGGATATTTCAAAAACACTCACCACCAGAACACTCTGGTATGGCTTGTGACACAGTAGAACTATTCATAATTCCTTTGATTTGGTCACAAGAAACACAGTTCTTTGCATCTGCAGTTGAAGTTATTGTTCTCAATACCTAGGAAAGCAAACATACTGTTCAAACTTAATATACAAAACTATTTGTGCTGTAATAATAATAAACATTTTAAAATGTTAAATTAGATACACTGTAATAGTACTATAACAAATCATCTATATCCCATGATTGATCCTATCATGCCTCAGTCTTCCATCAGGAGGCTGAGAGGGATACACAGCCAATGCCTATGCAGAGTATGTGGCCAATTTTAAATCCCAAAATATTGTCTTGTCCAGTTTGTTCTCCTTCTTGGGATGGACCTTGCTCCTTGGGATGGAATCACTGTTAGTGGGACAGCAGTATTGTTTCCATTCTCAGGACATGAAGAGCTAGAAATGTACCTAATTAGGACTAAAATGCATTCATGATATATTCCCCATGTATTATAATGCAATATTTCTAAGCTACCCTACATTTCCATTAAATGATGCTGAATTTTTATCTAAAGCAACTAAAATGTAATGATTAATTCAAAGCACATATATTATGATTCAGGTATTTTAAAAAAGCAGTCTTACTGGTATCATGTCTACATTTGTATTGACTGCTCCATCAGCAGTACTGGTGCCAAGAGATAGCATGGAACCTCTATGTTCTGTCATTATGGAAGATGGAAAATTGATATTCTGTGAGCACAGTTGCAATTGTGGTAAATATGCACATGTTGTCACTTCTGAAAGAGTCGCTTCTGGTAATTTCTGATATTTTCCAAGGACTTCATCACAAAACTCTTGTGTACATGGCTGCATTTTAACTTCAAACATTGCATGTTCATTTTCTCTATTCAGAGTATGTTTCCCGCAATTCAGTGCAGCTTCAGCCATAGAACTTAAATAGGTGTCTTGACTGGAATAGAATTCTTCTTCAACTGGTTTATTAATTAAATCATTCTTTGGACTAAGAATTTCAGAATTAAAGGTCTTCACAAGTCCATTATCTATTCTTGAAATTCTACTAAAAGTTATATGACTTTCCATAGGTACAGTTAAACTTTCAGATTGGTAGTATTTGATCTCTGTAGAGACATCTATTTGTCCTGGGCCAATTTTCATCTTGGTAGCTGTTTCAGCTTCAAAATAAACAAACAAAAATAAGCAACAAATCATATCCAACATAAGACTCCAATCCTAAGCATATGCTCACTGATCACTTACATATTGGATGGTGTATACACAAGATCTCACTCTTGCACTCTGCAAATCCACACTACAAACTCACCCTTGGTTTTAAAGATAGTAACTAACATGGATTAGAATTCCCAATTGAAATGTAAACTTTCAATGGCATAATGGAGAATCATCCACTTGTGTTTTCACTTTTAACCACCTTCTAGGGGGGTACTGGTTAAATTCAAATGCCAATTTCCTTAATCGATCTTAATTATATTTTCTTCAGTAGTACTGCTGTGCATGTCTGATCTTCAAACATATAAACACTATCAACAGCAATCAATATAGAGATTCAACGTTTTCTGTGCATTTGAAGTGCTTAAATGTTTTTTTATTAGACCACTGTTACTTGAACATGAATTATCTATTTGCCTTAGCTATACCTGAAACTTTTCCATTGTTTGTGACAGAAATTTCTATGTATTATGAGAAAGTACATATTTTTACACTAGTATGAACTTGTCTTTTAAACATCACCATATGTAGTTTGGGAAATGATTTCCCATTACTATTACTATACTCATAATAAATGTACCTTTTAATATTTCTACGTTCAGTGCTCAAACATATAAAGTTTTGAGATATAGTTCCAAATCAGAAACAGACCCTATTGTGCAAACCAAATAGGTATTGTTGGCAGACTAGATGCAAGATGCTAATATACATTATAAAGAGATAGCAAAAGGTACAGCTGAGGGGCATAAATGTGTTTTTTTGTTTTTGTTATTGTAAACTATTATACGGACCTTCTAAAAATTTCAGATCAAGCTTTTACAACTGTGCCACTTCGAAATAGTATGCTTGCATCTGGATAACCCTGTCCTATGATCTCCCATTTGCCTACCTGAAACAAAGGAGTTTTTTTAAAGTATGTGTTGTGGTGGTTACCTCACACATTACAGATTAAGGGTGTATTTACTTGTATCTGAAGCAATCGCACACCTCTACTTCGCCTCAAGCGACAGTGCAACATAGATCTGTGTTGCTGCTTTGGATGCACCTCTATATTGTGTATGGTGCATATTGGGGTGGCTAACCTGGAGCCTTCCAGGTCTTGTTGGATTAGAATTCACCTCATCCCCGGCTCTTAGTCTCCTTTTCACCAGGAGTGGGTGAAAAGCCTGCCTGCCCAGAGTGGCTGGGGCAACCCAGTCAGATGGGTGGCAAATAAATATTATTATTATTATTATTATTATTAGCCCTGACACATCTGAGAACACTGGCCAAGGGTGGCTTCCATGTAGAGATGGTGGAATATGGGGTGCTTCACACTTTGCAGGTCTGACACCCCCGTGTGTGGTACACAACTATTTCACAAAGGCTTGTTGTTCATCCTTGGCATGTCTGCTTATTGTAAACACCAGTGTCCCAGGCTTGGGACGAACTTGATGGCAGCAACATACAAGGTGAAGAAGCAGCCCTCACGCAGCCATCTCGAGCGGGCGGCGGACATTCTTTTAAACCGTGGTGGCTGAAGCGGGCCAGCCACCCCGCCACCTCACCTTCCCCCTCCGCAGATTCCCGCCTTTTCCCCTCCATCATCAGCACTGCATTATGAGCAGCGCTCGCCGAAGGGGTGCCAAGGAGCCGTTGGCCGGGGAGTTTTAAGCGCAGAAGCGCCCGCGAGGGCCAGCGCGCGGGGAAAGCCGCTTCCCGCTAAGCAGCCCCGCCGAGGGGGGCGGATCTCCCTCCGGGCAGTTTTCCCTCAGCGCTTCTCCGCGCGCCTGCAAAAGCCACACGGCCCGCTCGCATCTTTGAGCGGAGTGGATTCACGCTGGGCGCTGAAGGGAAAAGAACACAGCTTTCCCGCCTCTTCTTTCCCAATCTCAACCCCTTTCGATATTAGGGCAAGAATCACACAGCCGCCTTTAATCAGCAAACGAAGCAACTTATTTGCGATTGTTAAAACGCCTCTTCCCTTTCCCAGCCGGCGCCTGTTTTTCTTGAGGCAGCGGCTGAGAATCTAGGGGCTTTGCTGGTTTTCTCTCTTCTTTTAATAAGGGGACGTTCGCTTAAAAACGCCTGAGGATCAGTGAAAAAGAAGGCGCAGAATGGCATGAGGGAAGTTCCAGAATAAGGAACATTCCCCGCCGAAGATGCGCAGATAATATCAGTGCCGGATTTACCTATAAAAGCTAGAGTTTAGGGCCCCACTCTCTTGGGGGCCCCCAAAAAATTTAAAGGGAAAAAAGGTCTACATTTCCAAAATATAAGATAAAAAACACTTCCACAGAAAATGAGTTCAGTTCCAAATATTCCACCTTTTGTGATTAAATAGCATATACCTAAATCCATGCATTGGAAAAAGAACCGAGGGGGTGAAGTGCTTTTCACTGCTTTTAAAGTCTGGAATGTACCACTTCTGAATGCAGTTAGTATGGAATAGAAAGCCTGAGAGAACAAATATTAAATAAAAATGTGCATACTAACCAATGCCAGTTTTCACATTCCAATTAGAAATGGAAATAGGTTCAGTGTCTTAAAGCTTCTGGTTATACATAAATACATAAATAAAAAGATAATTAATTACTCATTACTATCCATGCATATTGTTGCATTTTTCATTATCAAAAGCCCTTTTAAAAATCAGTATAAGATCAATCTAAGTAGACTCTTTTTTCTAGGATACATAATCCTTGACAATTCTTTTGAAATGAATGTTCTTTGGAATTTATAAGACTATGATAGAAATGAATGTGTTCCCACATCTATGAAATAAAATCACAAACATCAGAATATTAATTTCTTTATTAAGGATAACCTATGCTTACTGTGCGTTTAAAGATTTACAACCAATGGAACATTATTTACATGCAGTTGACATTCTGAGAGGATACAAACCAAGTCTTTTTAGAAATTGTTTTGTGTCAAATAAAAAATGCACGACAGCTTAACCCTCCAAACACTTGCAATAAAAAAAAGGTTGTCCTCCGCCAATTACATTCCCTTAAAGAATGCAAAAATTGCATTGATAATGCATTAACTATGATTACATTGGAAATATCTAAAACCTGAGTCAAACCTAAGTAAGCTCTTAATAAAAAAGATTATTTACCTTAAAATTAATATATTAGTCAGTGGACAATATAAAGCATATGAACAAAGCTCCGAAACACTGACTCTTAACTTGCTGCTGTACATTGATTAGACACCATGCTGCATTTTAGGATTCATTACCACCCACCCCAAATTTTGTTTATTTACTGTAGTTAATCAAACGTAACATGTTCCACCCATTCCTGTGGGGGGCTCTGTACTCTAATATTTATTTACAGAGCATTGCCATCTGACCTTCATTTTATACCCAAGCCGACATGTTGAACAACCAAGAATATTATTAATATTCTTCATCTCAGGACAGAAGAGACCTCCTTCTCACACCCTCAATTTGTTTTAAATGTTAAAAGTTCTGGAACATCAAGATTGAATATTAAAATCTCTGAACATGTTGCATGATCTTTTTTATAGCCTAATTCATATAAGCAGATGTAATTGCTGCACTAAACTCTTAGTTTTATTTAAAGATTGCCAAGAGGACTTTGCTGTTATATTTTTGTAATGTTAATATTTTTAGGCTTTTTAGTGTACTTTGTGCCAGCCATCAGCCCCCATAGCATTTTCCTTGTAATTCTCATTACAAATTCTCTGGTAATGTTATTCATGATTTGCCATGCCTTCTATTTTTAAGACATTGAGTTTGGGACCACATATTTTAACCATGACCTAAGTATATTGAAGGTTTCTCCATTATAATTTTTCATGATTGCACATAAGGCAGGAGTTGCTTAAGGCAAATGTGCCACCTAGGCTGAGACTAGCTTGCACTGTGAATTGTCCCACAAATTTTGCATCTGATGGCTAACTTTCCTGAAATATAGGGAAATGTTATGAAATGTGGCAGCTTTCACTGATATTGATCTCCCATTTGAAACAAAAAAGTTCTATTGAAACTTTTTTTAAAAAAAACTAGCATAGAAATTACTCCTGTCTCAAAGGAAAGGGCTTTCATTAGGTTAAAACCAAAGGAAATTTCATGTTGGACCGTTCAAATGCAACACCATATAGAAATGTGCTGACTTTTACCCAAATATACCTAGATAAGTTATTGTGAATTAGCAACTCTATTTCCAAGTTCAGCAGCTCTACTTTCCATATCTAGCAGACAATTTACAAGTTAATACAAAACACCCCACAGTGTAATAATGTCCTGCATTTAGAACCTCTGTTTTTGATGTACTGGAATACATGTAAAGCAGGCCCATTCACAACATAAGTGAGAACGCAGAAAAATACTAGGGCATGTATATTTTTAAGTCTGTTCAATTGTCGCAGTTGCGGGTAGAGCAAATATTTCATCAGTGACCTATGGCAATATAAGCTTAGTTCCAAGCAACAAAACATTTTTTTCACTTAGCGCATTACATTAGGTTTGCCAGAATATTATTTTATGTTCAGCTTAATGAAATGCCTTTATTTAAAATGAATGCCCGAAGTTGTCACTTACTGATTAAACCGCCCCCCCCAGCAGATACATTAATTGATGGCTTGCTACAGGTACTTTTCAAGTCAGGTTTTTTGTTGACATGAGATTGGAATGCACTATTTTCATCCCTTCATTTGTAGAATACAGGTAGAGAGATTTTAAAGTAAGAAATGATCAAATGTACACCAAATTAGGACAGGTCTAGACATCTTAACTTGTGGCCAGTTTGCAGCTCTTCTAATAACACAGAGAATACCAAAAGTCATATCTTGGGGAGAAGAAAACTCTTCTGATCAACTGTAGTAATGGATGTTGGAACTTCTCCCAATAATACTTATTTATATAACTCTGAATGGATTGCTGCATAGCTGCCTTGTTTTCAGCCACTGATCAGAAGAGTTCTCACTGCCAACACAGGATGGTTAGTTGACTTGCTGTTAGGGAATCACTTGGTTGAATTTTTGCCAAGACTGAACAAGTTACGGATGTCACACAATGCTTGTTTGATGTTCTTTCCGAAACGATGGGAATTCTAAACAATAAACAGAGTAAGAAATCCATATTTAGTTACATGGAACTCTCATTATTATATAGTTCATAGTGTGTACATACATAACATAGATACAAACCAGAGAGAGTAATATGATAATTCATATTTATATTCTGGTTAGAATCTAATGTGCACTGCTCTGATTATGGATGGTTTCTATCAGTAGAATGGGGAGGGAGGCAATTTGTAGTGATTCCTGCCCTCTCCCCCCAGCCGTAGCTGTCAACTTTTCCCTTTTCTTGTGAGGAATCCTATTCGGAATAAGTGAATTTCCCTTAAAAAAAGGGGAAAGTTGGCAGCTATGCCCCCAGCAGTTTATTGCAAAAATCTGCTCCAGATGCCCCCCCCAACCCTCCAGAACAGACTTGGAGGGAGTTGGGGAATTGCCTCCCTCCCTGTTCTGCTGATGGATCCTTTCAGCAAAGTGACGTCCACTGGATTTCACCATCTATGAGTTTTAAAAAACAATTTCTTAGATAAATATGTAATTTCCTACTGGTGCAAAAAAAATGCCAGAAACTGGTTTCACCTTAACAGTAATATTGGACTATGGAGATATAATGCAATACATAATAGGAATCATTCTTTTCTTATAAATGAGAACCTGCCGATAACAATACAAAGTCTACAGGTAAATATATCAAGTAATTCACACCATACAAACACAGGAGGGGTTTATATGTGCAGGTTTTCAAGTGAATGATTTACTTCTCTTGATACATATTTGGGGAGGAGAAGGAGGGGGAGATATTAACTGTTTGCTATTACTTCTTTGCTGTATTTGTTTTACAATATCAGTCTGCTCAGAGCTTGATCCACAAGGAGGTGTTACCAGTTAACACACACCATTTTCATTCAGTATCTCTAAAACACCACAGTAGCTTAGAAGAATTTTTGTTGCTCCTTAGACAGAAGTCTCATTGATATGTGGTCAAGAACAAAGAAGATTAAAATGTTTCTTGTATCTGATTCTTTTCTTTGTTTGCAACATACTGTGACTAGGTTGCATAGTTTGATTTGTGGAAGGATGGGACTGCATTTGTGCAGAAAGTTAAAGGACCTCTAGTCCCCACAAACTCCATAAAGTCAAGAAGGCCTAATGAACATTAATGTGCCTTGACCAACAGCAGTGAATCCAAATTTCCTGTGATACTGTATACAAGGCAACACAGCATATTTTAAAAAACAGCATCAGGTTTAAAGAGATAACATCAATTCAACTGTCAGAGAAAAGGCTTCTCTAAATGTAACTAAACATATGAAGCATTATAATCTATGCAGAAGTTCTAGTAAATGTAACTGATTACAGTTAGTAGCAGCATCCATTCTGCACCAGGATAGCTGGGACAAGCCAACAACATGGTTGAGCAAGAAACTGTGCAAATAAGGAGACAGGTCAAGGACATTTTGGATAATGTGAGGATATATGGACAAAGGAAAAAGATTTGTAATAGCACTGATTGGATCAATCTGGACAATAGTTTGGAGAGATGGAACAACTGTCATGGTACGTGAGCCTGTGACATACTCCAGGATCTTCTAACCTGAGACATTCTGTCTCCTAAGACAGACCAGTTCTGAAGCTTCGGAGGAAATATAACAAAATAATATAACATCACAAAGGACAGCAAATTGTACAATACTGCTTGAACTATGAATGATGACTGCTTGGTACAAGCAAAATATTTGCATATTTATCAGGAACAGAAAACCATAGTATCCATAACAGATATAGTCTAGAAAACATGTAGCTTATATTTTGAAAAATCTGTTGGGTTATTTTTTTTAACTTTTAGATTCAATCTTCTGCTAGACAAATATTGAAAAATATCCCAAACACGATTCTCTCTAACAGAACACTAGGCCTATTAACCGAGTGTACAGAACGCTCTGGACTTCAGACACTTACTGTTTCAGGGCAAGAAAATTTGCTGGATACATGGAAATTGATAAGATTATCACCCACGATTATATATGAGACACCATAACCATCATCAGCAACCTGTGGAAGAAGCATTTGGAGTGTGTTACTATACATTCATGTAAAAGCCTCTAATGATTTATCTTTTAAAATCCTCTTAAGAAATGGCCCATAGTAGAATAGACTTTGTTCAGATGTAATGATCAACTATGATTTATTGTTACAGGAATGAGCCTAGTTGAGCCTTAGACTTGCATGCTCTCCCCTTATCCCTTGTGGCACAGCCACAAACAGATGTGAAGCATTCCCTTCTGTGTCCAATTAACCACAGTTTAGCATGTTATGTGCACCATAAATAGTGGTTAATATGAACCACGGTTTATTAAAATAAGCCAATTTCATGAAGGTTTGAACTTAGCTTGATTTGGTAATCCATAGGAAAGAATAGTTGCAGTTTGTCTGGGTTCAGAAGAGATGCTAAACACGTCTGATCTTTTCCTTGACTGTGCCAGAAAAGAGGGGAGGGGGGAGTGCCCCAACCCAAGACTCACCTGAGTACTTTCCCATCATGATAAGATGGTTCTAGAACACCCTGGGCACATATTCTGTATTACCACCAAATATATTATGAAGACACTATGCCCATTAAAAAAAA